AATTAAATGACTTTCATATAAAACCACTTTATTATTGGAAATAGTGACATGATCAAGATATAAATTCATGTGACAAATACACGAAAGAGAGATTCTTACTGTTTGTTATTGATGACGAATTGTTCTAGCAACCGTGTATGCTATCAAATCAAAAGAGACTTTTTCCTTTTTATACCATATATGAAACTTTATTACCAAATATGTTCATAGTTTGCTTATTACCCTTCATGTTAATAGTATTTCTACCTAATATATACGATGGATTAAATAAGGAATCACTGTAACTTTATGCTTTAAAATGGTTAAGCTCTTGAATCCAACTATAGACATTCATTCGAAAGACATTAGGTAGGTGAATTAGCTTCAGACATGTAAACTTAGGGAAGTGGACGCAGAACCCTACTAAAGATAAAGCAGAAACATCCATCTTCAATACCGCTTCAATATTGTTGTATTGGATTACACTGCAAGATTTGAACTACATTCAGTAATACAAAGCATAAATTTCTCAATCGCAAATTTCAGTAATACAAAGCAAATGAAAAGAGAGCAGCAATTCCACCATTGACAACCATTAAAAAGCTTGAAAGCTTTGAATTCAAATTTGGGTTTTCAAAAATCATTATTTGTTTGGATTGGGTGTTGTTGAAAATAATCGGGAATATGGTTTGGAGTTTATATCTCAATTTTGAGGGGTTTTGGTGAAGATTAGACTTGGTTTTGACTGAATTTCAGATTGAAACTCGAAGAAGAAGAAGAAGACATATTGCAGAAATTGTAGATAAATTGTAGATTATTTGCATTCTGATTGTAGATGCTTTATTTTCTGCTTTCACAAATAAAAAACGGCTAAAACTTCTACAAATCTTCTGAAAAACGCAGTTATGTCAAAAATCACAATTATGCTACAATTGAATGGGAATTGGGATATAAAAATTCAATGTACCTAGTTTGTAGATATTTTATAGATAAATTATAGATGATTTGTATTCTAATTGTAGATGCTTTATTTTCTGTTTTCACAAATCAAAAACGACTAAAACTTCTACAAAATCTTCTGCAAAAAACGTAATTATGTCGAAAATACCAATTAAGCTACAATTGAATGGGAATTGGGATATTAAAATTCTATGTACCCATTTTATAGATAAATTGTAGATTATTTGTATTCTGCTTGTAGATGCTTTATTTTCTGTTTTCACAAATCAAAAACGACTAAAACTTTTACAAATCTTCTGCAAAAAACTCAATTATGTCGAAAATACCAATTAAGCTACAATTGAATGAGAAATTGTACCAATGTCGAAAATACCAAATAAGCTACAAGCTACAATCCAACCTCAATCCCACATACTAGCAGGTTAGATTTATGCTTTCGTATCAACAGGCAGAATATATTTGAATGCTAGCGCAGGTGAATGCATGTTAATTTAATTGAACATATTTGCACGATCCAAATATGCTTGACAATCTGTATTAGATAGATGGCAAAATTTAATTGAATTCAACTTTTGTTAACTGACAAAATTAAAGTTTTTCACACGCTTTGTGTAATTTGACTAGTACCAACAAGTTGCTCGCCATTTATTCCTAAAACCATGTTAAGTGCAAAAATTTACTCGCCGTTGGTTTTAAATGATTATGATTTTATGCATATTTTCAAACAATCTGTATCATAAAAAAATTTATGAGCTGGACTCAATCAGGTGACATATTTTAATATGTTAACAAAAACTGTTCAAGGTAAGGATGCTAGCTTTTTAGGTTAAAATACACTATGGTATAGAATTGGTAATTTGGTATACTAAGTGTAATTAAATCAAACCTTAAACATTGGGGGTAATAAGATTTCCTATGTGGCATAGGATTGTAAAAATCTCAATGCCAAATCATATGTAAGAACAAAGAACCAAAGTTCGTTCCTATTTGAGATAGAGGAACTATCAATTAGAATCCGTCACAAATAATGATCTCTGTAGCAGTGGCGATTTACAAAAATTTATTGTCGACAAACTTATGGTTGATTTGAAAGTCCTATTACCAAGATCTTAATTAATCTTCTAGTCCTAAATATTAGGACTTTTTAAGTAAACTAGTATCTATGAACGTGCATTGCACGTTAATAATGGCACGCGATAGTTTAAACATTTAAATTATTTAAATGTCGAAAAATATTATTACATTAGCATAATACCTGAATTCAAAATGAAAGGACATCATCAGAACTTACATAAATGATCAATTTAGTCATGTTAGGTAGATAATTATGTACTATAGTTTAAAAGTATTTTTTGTGATGGTATCTTACCGAACATTTCTTTGTAGACGATGTATTTTAGTGCATGTTTCCTTCTAATGTTTTGGTTGCTCTGCCATAACCAGAACTCTTGTTTTCGATATTGATATCCCTCTTGAAAGTGCGACATATAGTTGTTCGTGTAAGAAAATATATTGCGGTAAATATAGTCCAATATTTAGGATATTTGTCGTTGTGCTTTACTTATTATCCAAAATTATTTATACACAAATTTAAAGCATATTCTTTAGCTTAGGAAGACAAAAGTTGAATTCGGGGATGAAAATATACTTAGAATATATTGACCAGTATCATAATTTTTTTGCATGTATGGCGTTATTGTCAAAACTTCTAAATACCATAGGTGTGATATTACATAAGCTATTTGGCGGATCTAAGTTTTTCAGTAGCAGGACGGGCATATTTTTCTTCAAAATCAATCTATATGCATTGGAATGTAACGACCCGACTGGTCGTTTTGCATTTTTGAACCCCGTTCCCTTAAATAAAACTTCCCACACTTGCTTTAAATAATTTATGACTTGCGGGGACGGGTGGTTCGGAAGTTAGAAGAGTTTTGAGCAAGAATATGTCCAATTGCCTCTTTAAGTTTCTCTAAAAAGGCCAAGTTTGACTTCGGTCAATATTTTGGGGAAACGGACCCGGAATCGTGATTTGACAATTTCTGAGGGTCCGTGGGAAAATATGGGACCTGGGCGTATGCCCGGAGTCAAATTCTGAGGTCCCTAGCCCGAGTAATGAATTTTTATGTGAAATTATTAAGTTAAAGTTTCAAAGATTTAAATAAACTAAGAATCATTGTCTTCCTAGGTATCGGGTTCGGATTTCGATTCCGAAACTTGGTACAAGTCCGAAATATCAGATAAGACTTACCCGTAAAATTTGGTGTCAATCCGAGTAGTTTAAGGGCGTTTTGACCCATTGGAGGAGAATTAAGAACTTGAAGTTCAATGATTTGATTCATTTGGTTTTGGGGTTGATTCCTCGATTTAGCGTTGTTTTGAGTGTTTCGAGGGTTCGAATAAGTCCGCCTCGTGATTTCAGACTTGTCGGTATGTTCGCACGCGGGACGGGAGCCCCGAGCGTCAAACGAGCGAGGCTCGAGTGAAGTTAGAATTTGGAAAATGACTGAAGTTTGCTGCTTCTGTCATAACCGCATCTGCGGTTCTTGGACCACAGAAGCGGGACCGCAGATGCGGTCATTTGATCGCAGAAGCGAAATAGGGGCATGCCATGGGAAACCGCAGAAGCAGCCCAGGGACCGCAGAAGCGGTCCAGCCCCCAATCTCTAAAGCCGCAGAAGCGGCCAATTTCCGCAGAAGCGGAAATACTTCCGCAGATGCGAAAATAACTGGGGACAGAAGGGTTCATTTAATACGAGCTCAAGCTCATTTCTTTCACATTTCTCTCAACACTTAGGCGATTTTGGTGATTCCAAAGAGGAGGTTTCAACATAACATTTCAAGGTAAGTAATCCCCACTCACTTTTAGTTCAAATACATAAACATTAGGTAGATTTAACACTAAAAATTAGGTAAAATCAAGGGGTTAGAGCTAGACCTAGGGTTTAATAAAAACTAAGATTTAATCATGTAATTGCCATGAAATGAACTAGAANGTGTAGGGGGCAGGGCGTCCTAGAGCTATTCCAGTTGCACCACCAGCAGATCCTGCGAGGGATCCGATCATTGGGGAGCAGGGCGAGGTGCCCGCAGCTGAGCCCACCCCGGCTGATTTCATGACAGCACCGGGATTTCAAGAGGTCATGGGCCGCATGCTTCGGTTCATGGATACTATGACTCAGGCTGGTTTATTTCCAGCAGATCCAGCTACCTCACAGGCAGGAGGGGGAGCACAGACCCCTACCGCACAGGCTCCAGGTCATACAGCCGCAGTTTATCATACTCCGGGTGCACTACCCGCAGAGGGGGTTCAGCCAGTTGCTGCAGCAGCACCCCAGCCCAGGCCAGCTGTGGGCGGCGACCCACAGAAGTTATTGGACAGATGGACCAGGTTGCACCCTCCAGTCTTTGGGGGTGAGCGTCATGAGGATGCCCAGGATTTCATTGACAGGTGCAGGGATAGACTGCACAACATGAGGATATTGGAGTCGCATGGAGTCGACTTCACTACTTTTCAGCTGGAGGGAAGGGCCCGTAGATGGTGGCAGTCTTATTCACTTAGCACGCCAGCAGGCGCTCCTCCCCTCACCTGGGGTCAGTTCACTCAGTTATTCCTTGACCGGTACATTCCACCCTCTGAGAGGGAAGAGCTGCGTCATCAGTTCGAGCATCTAGAGCAGGGTCAGATGTCGGTGACAGATTATGAGGCGAGGTTCTCTGAGTTGTCCCGCCATGCACTTATGATACTTCCCACAGAGGCAGAGAGAGTACGGAGGTTTGTTGCGAGGTTACACCCCACTATCCGGTCGGGTATGGCCCGAGAGGTAGAGATGGGTACTAGGTATCAGCTGGTACTTAAGATTGCTCGCACGATTGAGGGTTACCGTCTGAGGGGTAGAGAGCAGATGCAGCAGGATAAGAGGGCCAGATTCTCAAGAGAGTTCAGAGGCGCCCCAGCTAGGGGCAGAGGTCACTTTGGGAGGGGTCACCCCAGTAGGCCCCCAGTTTCAGCACCACCACCCCCTCCCCGAGGTGCCCCAGCTAGGCCTTATTTCAGCGTGATGCCAGAGAGTTCTTACCGCCCACCAGCCATTCAGGGTCCTTCCGGCGGGCATTCCAGTTATCAGGGTTCTTCCAGTGCTCACTCCAGTTCCACGCCAGAGAGTTCGTATCACCCACCGTCCATCCAGGGGTCTTCTAGTGGGTATCCAGGTCAGCAGGCTCAGACTTCAGGGTATCAGGCTCCGGTGCCGAGAGGATGTTACGAGTGTGGAGATCCGGGTCATATTAAGAGGACTTGTCCCAGACTTCGGGGCAAGGCGGTGCAGCAGGGTCAGCAGTCTATGGATCCAGCACCAGCTGCCCAGCCATCTAGGGGTGGAAGGCAGACTGGTAGAGGCCGTCCCAGGGGTGGAGGCCAGACGGGGAGAGGTCAGCCAGCTACTACTCAGACAGGTGGGGGCCAGACAGCCGGTGCTCCGGCTAGATTCTATGCTCTTCCAGCCAGGCCAGAGGTATTGGCCTCAGATGCCGTCATCACAGGTATTATTTCAGTCAGCGGTAGGGATGCATCGGTATTATTTGATCCAGGGTCCACTTATTCATATGTATCGTCTCTGTTTGCTCGTTTCCTGGTTATTTCTCCTGAGCCTTTGGGTCTTCCTGTTCATGTGTCCACTCCCGTGGGTGATTCTGTGGTTGTAGATCGGATCTACCGGTCTTGTGTGGGTTACTTTCTGCGGTTACGAGACTAGAGCGGATCTTCTGCTGCTCGATATGATCGATTTTGAGGTCATCCTAGGCATGGATTGGCTATCTCCGTATCACGCCATCCTTGATTACCATGCCAAGACTATTTCACTAGCGATGCCAGGATTTCCGAGATTAGAGTGGAAGGGTTCCATAGTTGATACGCCTAGCAGGGTGATTTCTTGCCTGAAGGCTCAACGCATGGTTGAGAAGGGGTGTTTGGCTTATTTGGCTTATGTCCGAGACACCGCTGCAGAGTCTCCGGCGATTGATTCAGTGCCAGTAGTCCGAGAGTTCGCCGATGTTTTTCCTTCTGATCTTCCTAGCATGCCTCCGGATCGTGATATTGATTTCTGTATTGATTTGGCTCCAGGCACTCAGCCTATATCCATCCCACCGTACCGTATGGCTCCTAGGGAGCTGAAGGAGTTGAAGGAGAAGTTGGAGGAGTTGTTAGCAAAGGGGTTTGTTAGGCCCAGCGTATCGCCTTGGGGCGCACCAGTGCTGTTTGTGAAGAAGAAAGATGGGACTATGCGGATGTGCATTGATTACCTCCAGTTGAAAAAAGTCACCATCAAGAACAAGTATCCATTGCCCCGTATTGATGATTTGTTTAACCAACTGCAGAGTGCTAGGGTGTTCTCTAAGATTGACTTGAGGTCATGGTATCATCAGCTGAAGATTCGGGATTCAGATGTTCCAAAGACTGCATTCAGGACAAGATATGGCCACTATGAGTTTCTGGTGATGTCATTTGGTTTGACTAATGCCCCGGCGGCATTTATGGATCTGATGAACAGGGTATTCAGGCCTTATATTGATTCTTTTGTCATCGTCTTCATTGACGACATCTTGATATACTCGCGTAGCCTGGGGGAGCACGAGTAGCATTTGAGAGTAGTTCTTCAGACCTTGCGAGAGCAGCAGCTGTATGCTAAGTTCTCCAAGTGTGAGTTTTGGCTCGAGTCAGTGGCATTCTTGGGACATATTGTGTCCGGAGAGGGTATTAAAGCAGATCCTAAGAAGATTGAGGCAGTTCAGAGTTGGCCACGTCCTACTTCAGTGATCGAGATCAGGAGTTTTCTGGGATTAGCAGGTTATTACTGGTGATTCGTGCAGGGCTTTTCATCCATTGCATCACCCTTGACTAGACTGACTCAGAAGGGTGCCCCGTTCGTTTGGTCCGATGATTGCGAGGAGAGCTTCCAGAAGCTCAAGGCAGCCTTGACTACGGCGCCAGTTCTTGTATTGCCTTCCGGTACGGGGATATATACGGTGTATTGCGACGCTTCACGCGTTGGTCTGGGATGTGTGCTGATGCAGGGGGGAGAGTTATTGCATATGCCTCGCGTCAGCTGAAGATTTATGAGAAAAATTACCCGGTGCACGATCTGGAGTTGGCGGCGATTGTTCATGCTCTTAAGATATGGAGGCACTATTTGTATTGGGTGCCTTGTGAGGTTTACACCGATCACCGCAGCCTGCAGCATTTGTTCAAGCAGAGGGATCTCAATTTGAGGCAGCGCAGGTGGCTCGAGTTGCTGAAAGATTACGACATCACTATTCTTTATCATCCGGGCAAGACGAATGTGGTCACGGATGCCCTGAGCAGGAAGGCGGAGAGCATGGGTAGCCTAGCATTCATTCCAGCAGAGGAGAGGCCACTAGCTTTGGACATCCAGTCCTTGGCTAACAGGCTCGTGAGGTTGGACATTTCAGAGCCCAGTCGAGTTCTAGCGTGTGTGGTCGCCTAGTCTTTGTTATTGGGGGAGATCAAGGCCCGGCACTATGATGATCCACATTTAGCAGTCCTCAGGGAGACGGTACTTCAGGGAGGTGCCAAGGAGGTTTCTATTGGTGAGGATGGCGTGCTGCGGCTCCAGGGCCATCTATGTGTTCCTAATATTGATGATCTCAGGGAGCGGATTCTGGAGGAGGCCCACAGTTCGAGGTATTCTATTCATCCGGGAGTCACGAAGATGCATCGTGATTTGAGGCAGCACTATTGGTGGCTGGGGATGAAGAAGGATATAGTGAAGTATGTGACTAAGTGCTTGAATTGCCAGCAGGTCAAGTATGAACATCAGAGACCAGGCGGGCTACTTCAGCGGATGCCTATACCAGCGTGGAAATGGGAGCGCATTACCATGGATTTTGTAGTTGGGTTGCCGCGGACTTTGCGGAAGGTTGATTCGGTGTGGGTCATCGTGGATAGATTGACCAAGTCGGCCCATTTCATCCCAGTGGCGACTACTTATACAGCGGAGAGATATGCTCAGATCTATATTCGGGAGATAGTCCAGTTGCATGGTGTGCCGGTGTCCATCATATCAGACAGAGGCCCTCGGTTCACTTCCCATTTCTGGAGAGCCGTGCAGAGTGAGTTGGGGACTCGTGTAGAGCTTAGTACAGCATTCCATCCCCAGACCGACGGACAGTCGGAGCGGACGTTGCAGATTTTGGAGGATATGCTTAAAGCGTGCGCGATTGATTTTGGAGGGCAGTGGGATCAATTCTTGCCCTTAGCGGAGTTTGCATATAATAACAGATACCAGTCCAGCATAGAAATGGCCCCGTATGAGGCTTTGTATGGTAGGCGTTGTCGTTCTCCTATCGGGTGGTTTGAGCCTGGTGAGGCTAAGATACTTGGCACAGATTTAGTGCAGGATGCCTTGGACAAGGTAAAGTTGATTCAGGAGAGGCTTCGCACAGCTCAGTCTAGGCAAAAGAGCTACGCGGATCAGAAGGCACGGGATGTATCATTTATGGTGGGCGAGAAGGTTCTCTTGAAAGTCTCGCCCATGAAGGGCATTATGAGGTTCGGGAAGAAGGGCAAGTTGAGCCCAAGGTTTATTGGCCCCTTTGAGGTGTTGAGCAGAGTTGGGGAGGTTGCCTATAAGCTTGCCTTGCCTCCTAGCTTATCAGGAGTTCACCCAGTCTTTCATGTTTCGATGCTTCGGAAGTATCATGCCGGCCTGTCCCACGTGTTGGACTTCAGCACCGTTCAGCTAGATGAGAGCTTGGGCTATGAGGAGGAGCCAATTGCTATTATTGACAGACAGGATCGCCAGCTGAGGTCCAAGAAGATTTCTGCGGTGAAAGTCCAGTGGAGGGGCCAGCCGGTCGAGGAGGCGATCTGGGAGTCCAAGGAGGACATGCGGAGCAGATATCCCCACTTATTCAGCAGTCCAGGTACTTTTCTATGCCCGTTCGAGGACGAACGTTTGTTTAAGAGGTGGAGAATGTAACGACCCGACTGGTCATTTTGCATTTTTGAACCCCGTTCCCTTAATAAAACTTCCCGCACTTGCTTTAGCTAATTTATGACTTGCGGTGACGGGTGGTTCGGAAGTTAGAAGAGTTTTGAGCAAGAATATGTCCAATTGCCTCTTTAAGTTTCTCTAAAAAGGCCAAGTTTGACTTCGGTCAACATTTTGGGGAAACGGACCCGGAATCGTGATTTGACAATTTCTGAGGGTCCGTGGGAAAATATGGGACCTGGGCGTATGCCCGGAGTCGAATTCCGAGGTCCCTAGCCCGAGTAATTAATTTTTATGTGAAATTGTTAGGTTAAAGTTTCAAAGATATTAATAAACTAAGAATCATTGTCTTCCTAGGTATCGGGTTCGGATTTCGATTCCGAAACTTGGTACAAGTCCGAAATGTCAGATAAGACTTACCCGTAAAATTTGGTGTCAATCCGAGTAGTTTAAGGGCGTTTTGACCCATTGGAGGAGAATTAAGAACTTGAAGTTCAATGATTTGATTCATTTGGTTTTGGGGTTGATTCCTCGATTTAGCGTTGTTTTGAGTGTTTCGAGGGTTCGAGTAAGTCCGCCTCGTGATTTCAGACTTGTCGGTATGTTCGCACGCGGCACAGGAGCCCCGAGCGTCAAACGAGCGAGGCTCGAGTGAAGTTAGAATTTGGAAAGTGACTGAAGTTTGTTGCTTCTGTCATAACCGCATCTGCGGTTCTTGGACCGCAAATGCGGTCATTTGATCGCAGAAGCGAAATAGGGGCAGGCCAGGGGAAACCGCAGAAACGGCCTAGGGACCGCAGAAGCGGTTCCGCTTATGCGGCCCCCAGACCGCAGAAGCGGTCCAGCCCCCAATCTCCAGAGCCGCAGAAGCGGACTTCGCAGAAGCGGAAATACTTCCGCAGATGTGAAAATAACTGGGGACAGAAGGGTTCATTTAATACGAGCTCAAGCTCATTTCTTTCACATTTCTCTCAACACTTGGGCGATTTTGGTGATTCCAAAGAGGAGGTTTCAACATAACATTGCAAGGTAAGTAATCCCCACTCACTTTTAGTTCAAATACATAAACATTAGGTAGATTTAACACTAAAAATTAGGTAAAATCAAGGGGTTAGAGCTAGACCTAGGGTTTAATAAAAAACAAAGATTTAATCATGTAATTTGCCATGAAATGAACTAGAAATCATATATTTGTGATCCTTAGGTGATAGAGAACAACTTCCTTCGAAAAATCTCGGAATCCGGGCACGTGGGCCCGGGGTCGGAATTTAGGAAACTTGTGTTAATGGTTAGGAAATTGCCTAAATAGCTAGAATTCAACCTTGTAAGTCTTTATTGACTAGTTCTTACGTTGTTTAATTAGTTTGTGCTCGTTCGGCTTCGCATTGAGGGTGTTGGGCTTGTTCTCGATATTGGAAGTGTGCTTCGGAGCGAGGTGAGTCTCCTTTCTAACCTTGTAAGAGGGAATGGTCCCGTTAGGTGAGTTAATTGGTTATGTGCTCCTATCTGTGGGGGGCTACACCCGCACGAGGTGACGAGAGTCCGTGCGTAGCTACTATTATGCTATTGTCCGGGTAGTCTAGGACCCAAAAACATGCTATACTTGGAATATCTGTAATCCTATGGACTTTTGAATTCTTAAATTAAGGTGAATTTGTGAATAAATTTCTAAGAGGAATTAAACTTCATATTCTTAAATTGTTAGAAGAGGATTGGCCTTTACTTGAATAATTGCACCCCGATAAATTCTTAATCTGCTACTTGAGCATGTATTTTACGTGTACCTGCGTCGCATGCATGATTCGCGAGCAGGGTGGTTATTTATTTAAATTTTACCGCGTCGCATGTATGATTCGCGAGCGGGGTAATAGATATATCTATGGTTCGAGCCGTTCGACCCTCGGCAGTGCACATTTACTTTTCTGTTGGATCGGGCCGTACGTTCCTCGGTGGTTATTTGCGCATGAGTTATCTAGTCCTCCACATGTGGTTCCAACTTTAGACTGGTTTGAATATTTATATATGAATGAACATTCTTTATGGAAGGTTAAAGGAAGGATTTCTATTTCATACTTGGAAATTTTACGACTTGAGTTATACCTGCTTATTATTAATTATTTTTGTTATTACTTGACCTTAGTAAGTATCAAGTCGACCTCTCGTCTCTACTTCTTCGAGATTAGACGGGATACTTACTGGGTACATGTTGTTTATGTACTCCTGCTACGCTTCTGTACTTTTGTGTACAGGATCTGAGGCAGGTGGATCTGGATACTATTCTGGTGCGCATCAGTGAGCATCCTTGGGACTTCTACGGTGAGCTGCTTCTCTTTCATGCTGATTCGCAGCCGAAGAAGTCTTTCCCTGTACTTTTGTTTCTGTCTATCCTGATTCAGACGGTAGGACATTATGTTATTCTGTGTATATTCTACTAGACGCCCGTAGCTTGTGGCACCAGGTTCTGGCACACACGATAGTAGACATTTGTTTTGGGTTGTATATCTATTTTGATACTTTATTTACCACTCATGGCCTTAACTTTAACTTTGAAAAATATGTTACACTCAGTTTTTGGGTAAAAGTAAAATGAGAACTTAATTGTACTTCCGCGTTGGCTGGCCTGTCAAAGGTGTCGGGCGCCATCATGACCTATTATGGAAAATGGGTCGTGACATGGATGCTCAATTTTAACTTAGTCTTTATATATATAGTGACACTAACATAGATAACGAAAAATAAACTTGACAATAAACTTTTATGGTAGAAGGCCATTTGGTATTAAAGTATTTAAGTATTCGTCTTGGTAGTTATTGTTGGTACATTTTCTGCTGAGTCAAAAAACTGAAAAGCACTTTGTTTTTTACCATAAAACTTCACAATCAACCTTTTATTTAATTGGCCAACATATTCATTTTTGCTAGCTAAAATAGCTTTTTAATTTCTATTATGCAATTTGTACAAATTATATTTTATCCAAATGATGGAAATATTTCCGTTATTAAATACACTACTATTACCATTAGGGTTGATAACTACGTGTTCTAGAAGAACCAATTCATCTTTTATTGGATGCTCTTCTTCGTTTTCGACACGAAACAAGAAGTCACTGAATACTGGATTCGTTTTTACTTTATATTTCTTGTTAGTTGAATCTTTTTCATTTAATTCCATAAGTATAATTTTGGCAAGGTAGTACAGTCTCTTCTTTCGTCGATTTTGGAACTACTGGTCGTACCTGACAAAAATCACCTTCCAAACTATTAGTTTTCACCAAACGGTTCATTGATATTTAATATATCTCTAGAACTGCGGGCACTGTTTCGATCATTTGATACTTAACCATAAGCGCTTCATCCCATATTATCAATTATGCTTTCCTTTTAAATTTAGCACCACTGCTCTGCTTTTGTTATATTTGTGATGTTGTTTTCAGTTGATTGAAGAGGTATATCAAGTCTAAAGTGAGTTGCCTCATAACAAAATCCTTGTTGGTACACCACTTGTTATTATTGCTAAGAGTATCATGCCTTTTCATATGATATTTGCAAGTAATGCACGACATAGAAAAATTATTTCGATTCCCGCCGAAGGCATCTATAAAGGATAATCTCGCTATAGCTGAGTCGATTCTTTATAATATAGTCTTGAAAGCTTGTTCTTGTTCAAGATTTAGTTTTGATTGTGCTTCCTCAGACATTTGTATGGTCGTTTTATTCTTAATACTATACTAACCTTTTTTACTTTGTGATCTAATTTTTGTAATCTCTAACACTCTTTTTATGTAATAAACTTAAGTACCCTAAGATTTTTATTAACTTGAAAAATTAATTTAACTCATAGGATGAATTTAAAAATAATTGAATTGGATTCTCTTGCTAAATAATTAATTGAAATTATTTGATCTTATCATAAAAAATAATTTACTTTATGTTGATTAGATTCTTAATGTTCATCTTTTCTTTTGAATATTTAATCTTAATTATAATGTTATCCACCATAAATTTTATTTTCAACGAGTAAAAAGATCGATCTAACATTCCACTTTTAGATCTTTATATTTGCAGAATCATTAGTGCTATTGACTCCTCCGAGTCATTTTTCTTTCTCTCTTTTAAATATTCTTAAATATTTTCTTAGTTGTTGTTTCATAATTGGTATATTTTTCAGTATTACACAAAAAATTAATAAGAACAAAAATATTATTTGAGTAGAAAAATAGTTCAAATATAATATAAAAATATATTGTGGGGACATTTTTTTCTTCTCAATTTCAACATTTTATGCAATCAATTTAACATTACTTTTATCTTTACTTGGTATTGGACATTATAGAGTGGGAATGTGTTGCCAATACGGAGGATTCTTATGAAATTGATTTTATTAAACCTTTCTACATATTTTAATAAGAATGTAATAGACAAAATTTTACTAATTTTAAAATCTTAAATATTAAAAAAATTAACATAGAAGATATTGTAGTCCAATGAGTTCTTTTGTTTAATATTTTATGGCTATTTTGGTCTATCAATATTATATTCATGCTTTTATAATAATACATAGAAGATATAGATAGATTTAGACTCTCTTTTTTCTAAATGGATTTGAGCAATATAATACATTATCAAATTATATTAGTAATAGGACATTATAATACGTTTTCAAATTAAATTAATAATAGAAACTTCAAAATACCGGATAAGATAATATATTATTAATATATATATATATATATATATATATATATATATATATATATATATATATATATCTTCTATGTTAATTTGATATATATATATATCAAATTAGAGCGAAATTTTTTTGACGTGTTTTTCATTTTCATGTTTTAAATGCTTTAATTAAGTAAATGATTAGTTTTTTCTAATATAAAATTAGTTTTTAAAGGGTAAAAAAAAGCGAACGATATTTCGATAGCGACTTCGTACTTTTAATATAATTAATATAGTATAAATAGATTGTTTAAGGCGATTGAATAGACAAGCTTTTGCACTTCCCTAAATTAAAAGACAAACTGTTACACTTCCATAAAATGCATGCAGATGCTTTGATAAAACAATTATAATCTGAAGGAAAATCTAAAAAGAAATAGAAAAAATAAATAGGTTTCTTGGGCCATCAGAGGTGTCATGTCATTTTTAATGTAGCCAGCTTTATATAAATATAGAAAGTTGGAATGAGTCTAAAAACACAGCTTTATATTCATGTAGTTTCAAGCCAAAGAGACCCTTAGCTACAAAAAGAATAATGACCTGTTGAGATGGAGGCAGCAGATGTCACATTAAATCAAAGGCCTAACCTGAATACTAGACATTGGACCTCATTAAAATCGACCAATTTGTTAATAAAAAATGTACAACAGAAAAGTCCCTACCCCAAATTCTACTATCTGCTGTGGCAAAAGAAAAAGAGTTTTATAATGATAGTGTCTGGGTTATCTTGCGCGTACCTCAGACTTCCGCCAAGTACCTACTACCTCCCCAACATGTCCATCACGACAGAGAGAGACATTCTCCTGCCTTTTAAGACTAAAAAACACCCTGACCCGAAAACCATAAGAATCACCAGTGCGCCATTTGCCCCAATTAGAGGCCTGCACAAAGAATTTACCTCCTTAATCTAAGTTTTGGTTAACTGTTGCATTGCTGCTCCCCCAAAATATTTAGCTTTTCATCCTTTTGTTAGATCCCCATTAGAGAAAATGGGAGTTAGAGTAAAGTCAGATTTTATGAGCTATTCAATTCTTCCTCCAAACTTAAAAATTGAAGGGTCTTGACTTTCAGCCTCTTTGGCCCTATCTCTACCGGAGGTGGTTCCCCCACAGTCTTACCCAACCCATACTCAAAACTTTCATCTCTTTTATGCTCGTTTTTCTTGCTCCATGCTTCTTCGTTAGCCCCTTTCTTGGACTTAATAGAGATGGGAACCGTACCACCTCTAAGCGACTTGTCTCTTAAAGGATAATCCAAGGCTTCCTTAGAATGGATTGAATTACCATTGTAACTATGAGTTGCATCATCAGCCACGGAACGGTCCAATGAAGATAATGGTCCAAGCCGTCCTTCAGTTTGATGTTTCTTTAATCGTTTGTAACCCTGGAAAAAAATGCCAATAACACTCAGTAGCTAAGTACAATTTCACACCAAAAAGGACGAATGTCCACACAGTAGCAAATAAGGTGAATGTAACTATAACTGGTCAAAGGAAACAGCATTTGAAAAATTAGCTATATAAAATTTGCTTTTAACAGATGATATAAGGGTCTCATACCATCCACTCAAACAAAGCAATTAGTTCGACATACTTGTTAACCTGCTAACCAGAAAACAAAGTTCATAAGTTACCAATCTGGATTAACACAGACCAAATAAAAACTTATTTTGCTCCAGATTTGGTAACAAAAGTTCAGAAGGGTTTACTACCATTAGGATACATATTAGGTAAGTTGAAGGACTAATCCATGCAAAACACCAAAGGAAGATAGACGTTTTCGAAGATCCAAATAGAAACCAACAAAAATTTATTTGACACCCGCTTTCCCCCTTCATAGAAGTATTTAGTTCTGAAAACAGAATAAGAAAAAAGTTGTACTGAACTAAGACCCCAGAATGCAATACCTGGTGCTCAACATTAACTGAAATGGGATCATGTGTACTCCTCCCATGTTCTGTTCTAGAACGTCTCTTCACTCTGAAAATTTCTGTATCAGACTCATCACTGTCTTGATCTACAACAGTTCTAGCATCTGAAACATGAGCTACTTTTTCATGAACCTTTAAATAGTCATCACCAGGTGAAAAAACTGATCTTTCACTTTCACATCCAGAAATGTCTCTAGAAGGCCTGACTGATACACTATTCCCTAAGTTTGAGTTAGCATTTTCCTGTACCTACAATGTAAATTGAGTTAGCTTGAGATCAAATAAAAGCATTTCCACTTCAGTATTACGGAAATCACAAAAGTAGCACAGATATAGTAACTTTATCGATGATCACATACATTAACATTAGCAGAAAGCCAATCTTTTTGGTCCATGGGAGAACCAACACGTGACACAATTCCAATACTAGATGCAGAAGCATTGGAAGCCTGTTCAACCCAGTCCTCAGTTTTCAAGGTTTCCTCAGACCATTCAAATTTTATTTCACAAAATGGAACATAGCCTTCCTCTTCAGCTCGTGGAAACATGTTCAAAAGGAGACTGTAGTCATCACTTTCTCTATATTGCCCAATTTCATGCAAAACAACATCCAGCTCAAACTTCCTTGCTGCAGTTTCAATGTCCGAAAAATCTTCCCTTAAGCAAAGGGTTCTACTGCTTCCACAAGGTAGATCAAGTGACCTAGGATCTGATAAAGAAACAACCATCATACCGATCATCAGTTCAGTGTCTCCGGATATTTTCTTTCTTTTTTTATTTTATGAAGGAGCTTACCCATATAATTAACAAATAAAGACAAAGAAAAGGTTCCATTCAATAACATACCATGGCGAAGGCACATTGCATGTGAGTAACAGTTGCAGTTCAGATATGCTACATAGCAGTCACGCTTGCATATGCTGCAAAGAATAGTGCCGTGTGAAAATGACAATACACCAGAAAATGCTTTTGATCTCATGAGGCACCACCTAGCACGATGTTGAAACCGCATCAAATTTACAAAAGAAACTTTAATGCTATGGTGGGTGATCAAATCTGCAGAGGAATAAGCTTGATTTTGAAGTTTCAAATCCATACGCAAAAGCATTGCTTCTTTGCAGAGAAGTTCCTCGTGGGGAAGAAGAGGCACCCTGTTCAGCAGTGCATAACGACGGCTAGCAACTGAACCAATTGGGAACCAATCACCAGTTGCAAAGTTTACAGCCTCACCACAGTTAAAACCTACATATTAGAGAAATAGAATTCACTGATGCTAATTGTCAACTAAGATGAAATTACAAGAGTAATAAAAAAACATTAGGGCCAAAATTAGAGTGTTGGAGAACTATGTCAGACCAACATGTTTTAAGGTATTGTGCATCCTTTAACTCTAAAGTTTAGACAAAACTATAGAGGCTTACCGTGGCTAAATCCAGCATGATATGCTCTTGGAAAAGTTACTATAAAGTCCCCAGGCTTTTGAACAGCTTTATAGACAGGAACATCATGTTCTGATAAAATGTTAGGAGGAAACAATGTTGTCTTCTGCAAAAGCACATCAAAAGCTCCATCCTCTCCATCAGCGTTTAAGATATCATTGTTATAGACATGCTGGCGGACAACCTTTTCAAAGTTGAGCGCTGCATGACCTGGAACACCATACCAGGTTTTTGCTGCCCCGCAATGATGATAATTGATGCTATACGCACAAATGAAAAAAGATAAGTCCCCAAATTAACCGGACTAGACGTACACTTCAAATTAAATCACACACACCTGTACAAGTAGTGATCTTCCACATGCCAGGCAAACATACTAAAGAGCATTCCAATGTATAACATTGGTTCAGTAACTCCCTAGAGAAGAGAAGATACATTATTAGGAAGTGAGATAACTTCAGGTTGGACTAAAATTTCAACGAAAAAGGTGCAAAAACTAATCTGTTTACCGGGATAGCTTTTTCGAGGAGTCGAAGTGTTGATTTAGGTAGGCAAGAAAATCTCTGAAACCACAAATAGAGGATTTATTAGAACAGAAAGGGAATATAAAAGGGCAAATAGACCACCTTTAAGACTACATCTAATGCTGACAGGAGCGGGGAAAGCTGATGCATGGAAAATTATGAGAAAGATTTTATTTTGTCCTTCGTGTGGTAGGTTCAGAAAGGAAGGAAAAAGGTAAAAAACATAAGAAAGAGGAAAAGAGTACAAGAGAGCATTGAGTGGAACTCTATCAAACAACAGTGACAAGGCTAACACTGATAAAATGTTTCAAAACATGAACGTAGCAGCAATAAATATGAACGCTAGATGCAAGGCACATTGACTCATTTTATACTGACAATAGAAGATATATCGCTTAAAACAAAACAAAAAAACTCCATATAGGAACAGCACGATAAGGAGAAACTTTGTTCTGAAATCTACACCTTCATATTCCATTTGCATTTTCCAAGTTCATCATTGGGAGAAGATGAAAATGCACTACCATCAACATCGCATGCATATTCAACACTCTCAGTCTTTCCACAAGCTATTTCATGCCAAAATTCTTTTTCCATATAAGCAGGAGGAAGGCATCCAGCACTACAATACCTACGAGTAAAGACCTTGTTCGCCATTTTCTCGAAATCACGAAATGTGTAGTTTCTGAAAAACCATATTATTCCTCAAAAGCTGACAAATAATCAATTAACAGAACACCAAATACGAATGAAAAACTAACCTTCCGCTCATGAAAAATGTGACCTTGTCATCTGTATCCCATTCAGCTAGACGAAGTGGCTGTACCCTCGTTGAAAATTTAAAACCAGCCTTCTCTTTCATCAACACTACTCCAGCAGGAACAGAAGCCATGATTGGTGAAACAATCTTGCATATTCCTGTTATTTCAAACATACTATCAACTCTTATCAAACAAATGAATCTGACAGAACCAAGTCACCAGCAACTATATTTATACAAGAACACAGTCCAGACAAAGCAAGAAGGATTAATATGTTTCTGAAAATAGATGGGACAATTTTCCCCTTCAAAAATCAAAATGGACAGAGGCCTACAGATAATGCCGAAGACTCTAGATAACAAGTAAATCAATGTTCTCAACAGGCTGAGTCCATCAAAGGAACGTACTCAATAAGGACTAGAAGGTAAAATTCTACCTGGAAACTAATAGAATAGTGTTTGTAGTGAGAAACATAAGACATTAATTTATTTGACACAGAATATTAATGTAGACAATACCATATTTAGAAGCTTCAGGAGCTATCTTCTGGAGATAAACCAGCGGATCCTCAAACTCCTCTTTACTTGGATAATAAACTGGACATTCTGGAATTTTATCAGTCCAGTCAAGATTAGACGTATCAAACTTGGCAACCTTGTGCTTTGAGAAAACATCTCTTCTGTTTAAGGAAGTCCCCGGCCCTGCATTTACATGAACTCTAACACCACACGAAGCTGAAGAGCTTAGGGCATCTCCTCCACTTCTACTCATCGTATTGCTGACATAAGTCGAATCATTCATAGATTCTGGTTTCTTTCGTTGAAGCCTTTTTCGCTTCAAAAACTCCAACATAGCCTCCCTTGACATCCCGACTCTCCCTTCCAAGTTCCACCTGCCATACAGAAAAAGAATTAGTAATAAATAACGTACTATTAGAAACCTTCAGACCGAACCATTCAAGAAAAATGTTAAACTCATAGACAAAGTTCATATACTTCAATTACAATTCCTTTTTCTTTTACAGATTAGGACAAGTACAAAAACCTTTACTGATGTTCGAATATGGACAAAAGAATCAGAATTAGCAATACCAAAAACTATCACCTAAACATGTGATCCAGTAAAATATGAAATCACAGAAATAGTATTTGCACTTGATTTAAAGTTTAGACTGTAGATTATGCATAAGAAACCACTGATAAAACAACAAAATAACAACTACAATGCAGTAGGAATTCTAACTAGGGGATTCAAAAAACAAAAGAGGCATATTTGGGATTTGAACCTGCATTTCTCTTTATACGTGTAAAAAATTGCTTTTACCCTATTTACGCAGTATAACTTTCCGACAGAAGGGGATTCAATCCCTTTCCTTGCATGTGGCTCCACAACTGCTACTATGCATCAATCCAGAACTAGTTAGTGTTTGCTATATGAATCCTCAGTATATGTTCTGCTCTATTGGGACTGTTTCGTCCCAATACTACCACTACGAAAACATAATGTAAAAGTCATTCAATTTTCACAACAAACTATAAGAATGATCGAAATCCAAACTTCAAACGAAAAGAACAAAATCACATTCACCATTTTCAAAGCAAAAAATAAAAAAAATAAAAAAAAATAATAATAATTAGACGAAACCTCACACTCTTCTTATTATTACACTGCGCATTCAAATGTTCTAAAAAGCATAGTATTGCAAACCGCTCCTCTACTCCGGCGTCTTCTCCCACACTTCACCAGAAAATTAAATAAAAAAAAACAGCAACAACAAAAACAGAGCGCTTGTAAAACCGCCAGCTAAGTCCTAGAACACGATCTACAGCAGAATGAACCGTAAACACAGCCTTAGGCTATCCACATTACCTCGATGCGGCACAAAACCGAGTCCAACTCGGAGATCAGAACGATTTCACCGTCCGAGTGGTTCAACTACTCGAAAACAAATTCAACTACTCGAAACCAAAGGATAATAGAGAAGCTGTATTCTCTGGTGACACTGTTCACCTGCGAACAGGCGGTTTTCCGGCGATACGAAGAGGTTTGCCGGCGAACGGCGACACCGAGTGATTTAACTACGCGCGAGAAACAAGGAACACTACTATATCAGAGATTCTGAGCGCGTGTAAGTTCTCCGGTGATAGTTCGCCGGCGAACGAGTGATTTCCCGGCGGGGAGTGGAGAAAGTAGAGAGAAATTGAACAGTAGATGGAATCGAGAAGAATATTAGAAAACCGGAAAAGAGAAGAGAGTGGATAATTTAGAAATTTATATATACGCAAAAAGGACAGCTGTTCCGAAATAAATATTTTAATTTTAAATAGTAAACAAATTGATTAAATTGGGAAATAAAGAATTCGCTTTTAATGGTTTTCTGGTTTTGAAACGAGAAGTGTGAAGGAAAGTGGTTGATAGGTTGGTTCAACCAAATGCCTGCCGGCCTCAAAACGCAACGTTTTGAAACCATAATCTTTTACGGTCGAAATACAAAAATGCCCGTCGCCGAAACTAATTACATCTGCCGGCCAAAAATAATAACAACAATAATAATATGGCCAGTAAAATTTTATGAATAGGGTCTAAAGAGCTTATTGGATATGCAGATATTACCCCTACCTTATAAGGTAGAAGGGTATTCACGATAGACCTTCAGCAGGATATGACAAAAAATTATACTCCCTCCTTTTCAATTAATGTGAACCATTTGATTAGGTACGAAATTTAAGAAAAGAGAGAATACTTGTGAACTAGTGGCGTAAAATTAGTCAAATATATTTTATGTGGCTATAAATTACTGCATAAAGGTAAATTGTCTCCAATAGGGAAAGGGGTCAATCTTTTTGGCATGACAAAATAGGTTCACATAAATTAAAATGGAGGGAGAATAAAATATAAATATTTTATATGTATAATACTCCCTCCGGTCCACAATAAGTGACCAATTTGCTTTTTATTTTGGTCCAAAATAAGTGTCCATTTATACAATCAAGAAAAAATTTAATTTGTTTTTACAAAATTACCCTTATGTACATATCCCTAAAAAGTTTTCTTACTCCTCACATTAAATATTTAATTAAGGGTACTTTAGTCATACTAGGTATTTTTGTATAGAATTTAGTATTTTCTTAATGGGAGTGCCAAAAGCAAATTGGTCACTTATTGTGGACCGAGGTAGTATACATATAAAAAAAGGACGACCCGGTGCACAAGGCATCCCGCATTCACGTAGGGTCGGGGAAGGATCACGCCCCAAGGGGCGTGATATAGATAACTTACCTTAATACAAGCATTAGTGGTTGTTGCACCGCTCGATCCTGTCATGTAGGTTATTATTTTTGGAACACCTAAAAATATATAATGTTTCGTCTTTTTTTGTTCAACTAGGTATTCGTATTTGTTTTCGCCCGACAAAAATATTTTTTTACCAAAAATAATTTTCTTCTTAGAGCTTAAACCCAAAACTTTCGGTTAAAGATAGAAATGTGGTCACTATCACCCCACCACAACTTCTAATGGTGTTTCGAAACCATAATCAAGTCCATTGTTTTCCCATGATACCCTAAAATCGAAACTATGGATTTAATACACTTTTAGCGGGGAATATTTAATTTGAATTGTGTTTGGAGATAAAGTTCCATTAGAAAATCTTCAGAGAAAATAAATCTTAAATACTTCAGTATTTACAACTTCTCATTGTCAAACTAAAATTAATAATACCATTAATTGTTGTTATATTAAATAATAAATAAAATTATTTATTAAGTCCATTTGTTCTAGAAGGCTTCTGTTTCAATAGCGGTTATTGAGTGTGAAAAAGGAAAGAAGCGGGAAGCCAGGATCCAGTACACAAAAATACAGGAGAAGAAACGTGGGTGCTTATATAAGCCGTTGATTTCATTTCGTTTCGTTGTTAACGGTGGAAGATTGACTTCCATCTTTGTGTGAAATCCGTTAGTTACTTTGGTTAGCTAAAAGGACAGCTATCTCCATGGTAGTTGCCTCTTTTTGACTGTAAGGTAAGGGATGATTATGTCATTTCAGATAAATTCATCAGAAAAAGACAACTCCGTAACGTGAGTTTTAGGCTTTCCTCAATAAAGCGAAATTGTAGATAGGGCCCCACCTGAAACGTGGAATAACTATTTTTTTTTTATGTGGGTTATTTAGATTTGGTATTTTTAAGTAAATAATAATAATAAGCAAATAAATCACATTATGAAAAATGTAAACATCTACTAATTAGAGTTGAGGGCTGATTTAATGAATAAACTCTTAGATCAGTAACATAATAATTAGGTAAAGGCTTCGAGCTCGTTCAGTTAATCTTATTCTTAAATTTTTATCATTATTTGATAGTATTGTTTATGCTTCGATTCTATTATTATCTTGATGTTGTTACTGTTTCTTTTCCATGACTTCTCGCTACTATTTTTTTTTTCATTATTGTGATTTTACTTGCCCTGAGTCAAAGGTCTATCGGAAAGAAATCTCTCTATCTATATAAGATAAGAATAGGCCAAATACATATACAGCCATCCAACTAGGCACCATTTTTCATTGTGGCACTCTATCTCTTCCTTGTTCTATTTTGGCCCTCCAACTCTATTTCTTATGTTCGACTTTAACATAAAAGCTGAAATCAGTGCAAAAAATATAGCATGCGTGTATACACAAATCTGAGGTGTAATAAAAATCTAATTAAATATTGCCACCTGATTTTTTTATCCATGTAAAACGAGTCAATACTAAAATATCCGAACCCGATCATATTTTTTGTGGGTTTATTTCATCTATACCGGTCAAGTATGAAATCGGCAGATAAAAACTTTAGAACTTAGAGAATGAAGACGGGACAACAGTGGATGAAAAATACGGTAAAGGGTGGAGGAAGGAAATTATATTGCTATTGGTTGAGAGGTCTTTTCCTTTTTTAGGAGCTTTAATATTTTGAGGTTGGGCTAATGATTAGGTTTCCACATTCGGCGAAAACGAAACTTTGAAGGGACAAAAGAAAAAGGTCTTTTGGTCGGCGGCTCAGTTTTAGACTTTCTTTAAATAGACGGTCAACAATTTTTCACACTTTTGATTTTCGGTTTTATGGTCTTAATTTACATTTAATTGTTTACAATGAATTTGTACGCTCCTTAAGAAATAATAAATAAAATATAAGTATATTTTACTATAATATTCATAATAATAATAATAGTTTAAGAAATCTTGAAAAATAATTTGAGAAATGAGTAGTTAATAACAAGGGCAAAATAGGAAAAAGATTTTGATTTTCTCTTGATTTGCTAAAATTGACAAGTCAACGGAAAAATATATTTTTAGTATAGTAGACAAGTAAAAGTGAAGAAGGGAAATATGTCATAATTTTTGTATAACAACCATTCTTTGTAACAATACTTCACTATATCAGCCAAAATTTCTTTGGAACCAATATTCATGTTATATTATATAAATATTTTATATAACAACACTTATTTATAGCAGCCAAAATATATCGGAACATACGAGGTTATTATAGAGAGATTTGATTAATAACTATAAAAGTTATGATTAAATATAAAATGAAAAATTTAAGTTAAATTATTTTTAAATTAAAAAATACATCAATTTATTAAAATAATTAACAAAAAAATAATTATCATATAAAATGAGACGAATAGAGTATTAAACTTGCGCATAGAGTTTCGAAAAATGTACGTAGTGAATACAATAATAGTTCATGTTTACCAATTTTATCCTTGTAAATACGTGAAAGAATATACAAGGAAAGATCATGTCTTTGATAATGATAAATTAATTGAGAAAGTGAAATATGCCAACTTTATGCTTGAATTATTACTAAGTGTTTCACATGGAACTTCTATTGAAAGAGATATTTAAAATCCCAATTGGAAATTGTGTAATCGACATGTGGTAGTTGACTTTCTTTTTTCAATTATATGTCACGAATAATTATATACTCCTACTTATTATACCAGTTGCCACCTCTCACTCTCAGGGCTCAATAATTATATAATTCTTTTTCATATAATTTAAGAGGCCTGCAATTGGTCAATAATATGGCATTATTTCTTTATTTTTTTTTCACAAGCACATAATCAATCATGAATATCTCTTGAAGATAATGAAATTGTCGAGTCAAAATATACAGTTCGATCTCTATAGCAGTAGCCTTTTAAAACAATGCTTTACTATAATGGACATAATTTTTTTTGAATTAATTTTTCTTGTTATATTTTACCTATCTATAACAACCTTTTGCACAACAACAATCATCATTATAACAATACGTTCTTTATAACATTATCCCTCTGTAACAGCCATATAATTTTTTTAACATTACCAATAATAAGTCTAGAGATTTCGACCAAAGATTTTAAAACTTTATGTACCACTTATGATAAAGAATTCCACACTTGTGGAAAACTACTGGGTTTGCTGTTATATATTTTTGGATACCCTTTTGCTAAAAGTTTGGACATAAATCTCCGCCAATTCAAACGTTATATCGGTAGTAAGAGACTTGAATCTACAAAACAAACTGCAATTACAAAGTTCTTTCATAAATCTTGAAAGAATTAAATCTTCAAGCAGCTTTAAAATGTGTGCCTTAAAGTTAAATCTTTGTACATTTAGTAATGAATTTATTGATTATATATTAGCTTTTTAAATATTTAATTAATAAAATACACATATCTTTTGAGATTTTAAATTTGAATAATTTTCTTACTTTTTTGACGTAACTGATAAAGTTGCTGCCATGTGACCATGAGGTCACAGGTTCCAGTCGTGGAAACAACCTCTTATAGAAATGCATGATAAGGCTGTGTAAAATAGACCCTTGTAGTCTGCTCCTTCTCCCGGACCCGCGCATAGCGGAAGCTTAGTCCATCGGGCTGCCCTTTTATATGCAAAGTTTAAAAACATAAAAAATAAAAATTAATTCTTGATATTTTTTGTATATAACAGTCAAATAGTATTTAAACGCCAAATGTCATTATATGTGTATAACAGTCATTTACTATAAAATTAAAATACCGAAACAAACAAAGTTGTTATAAAAAGGTTAGGTGAGTGTAATTGGTTTATTCACACATCTATTTTGTCTCTTACTTAAAAAAATGTCTAGGGGCAGTAGAATAGTAACCATTATTAGAATTCTAATGATTAACAAAATGTAAAAGTTAATTCACTAATAAGGTAAGACGTCGATCATAATTATCATGACTCAAATCCAAATAAGTTAGATACCAAT